TACAACTTCTTCTATTTCTTTGTTAGTTTTGCTTTTTTTACTCAAGTTTTTTAAGAGACTGAATATTTCTTGTAGTCCTTTTCTTTTTTTTTTAGAGCTCCAAGTTTGGTTTTTTAGTAGCTTTTGTGTATTTTTTGTAGTTTTTTGATAATTTGTGTTTTTGGAAATTTGTATTTTAATGATCCTTTTACCAGATAAAATTACTGTATTTTATAATATTTTTAATTGCTGCTAAATTATTATATAATTTCTTATATATACTAATAGTTGTTTAAATAAAATTAAATTTACTTTTCTTAAAGTTATTACTACTATTAAAGTAAAATTCTTCTTTAAAATATTAGACAATTTAAAGTTTTTACTTTTAGCTACTAGCTTAGCATTGTTAAATTTAAATATGATCTTTAGTTTTTTAGTTTTTAGTATTATTAAATAGGTCAATTTTTTTTTAAAAACAAATACAGATTTTTTGGCAATTTTTTATACTATATATTCTTTGCTATTTCTATTAGCTGTATACTATAGTTTAGTTTTAGTATTATTAAAAATTTTTTGAGTTCGCTATATTTAATTATAAGATAAAATTATTTTTATTTTATTTAAAATTTGAAAAAAAGATATTTTATTTTAGATTTTTATTAAAAAATCTAAAATTAAAATTTTTTTAAACTTCAAATAAAATAAAAATAACTCTACTAGCTTAATACTATATATTTTTAAATATTAAACAAATTTATTTAGTATATTGAATTAAATTAAAAAATAGCTATTTGAACTATGATTTTACTATTTGCATCATTTGATTTTATAATATTATTTTTTTAAATTTTTTTAAACTTTGATTAAAAATATTTCAACAACCAAATTTAATAAAATTTTTTTAGGGACCTACTATTTCCACCATGAAAATTTGCTATTTTCACCATGGTCGACCACGTGACACATGATCTGCCGGCTATTTCTGACAAATTGCGAGAGGTCACGTGATACTCACTAAGATTGTACTATCTACGTGATTTATCAAGATCTTGTTACATTGATTTACAGTGTTTAGAAATATGTAAAGACACTTGGACATTCTCGGACTTGGATTCGGACATGATCTTGAACATTAAAAATGCACAACTCCTGATCAAAGTTGTATAATTATAGAGGTCAGATCTTTCAGTTAACAAAGCTTAATGATCTCTTTTAAAGATTAGAGTAAGCTAACATAATTCACTTTTGAGTTAGAGGTATAGGTGTTAATGTGTATATTACTCATGATCTTAAATTTTGCGTATCCTAATTACATGGGCTGCCGTCAATAGAAATCAAGCAGATTGATATTTAAAAAAAAATTAATGCCTCAACTTTCTTAGCTCATATCTCGATAAATTTTGAATTTATTATTGGATTAAATCACATACTATACAAGAACAACTGTATAACAAACCTCCTTTACATGATTTTTTTATAAAGAGTTAATGGATCTTTTATTAGTTAAAAGTAAAGGTAATTGAATTATCATTTTCGCTTTCATTGACTTAATATTACTATTTGTATCTAAGCTAAACTTTTTTTTTTTTATTTGTAATACCTGGTCTTTTAAATATATTTATCGATAGAACAACGAAAGATAATAAAACAAAAAATAAAAAAAAATTCTATATGACTACTGCTAAGTTTTATTTCAATTTCCTTTTTTTTTTTTTTTTTTTTTACTACTTTTGCTATATAGTCTTTAAATACGTTTAAGCCTCACTATCTTCACTTGTACTTTCCACATTCGGGCATGTTCTACTATTGTGCCCAGATTTATGACATATACTACATTTCCTTTCTGATTCAACCAATTCAAAAGCAGATGGGTCCCTTTCAGTAGATGATTAAGCATAGTTTCTCGCCCCAACTGGATGTCCCCTTGTTTGCCTTACTTGTAGATTCTGTACGACTATAGTTGATTCTTGGAATAAGTCTGACATCTTACTTATAATTGCACTTCTTTGGTGAGCTAATAGAGTACTAAATTGCTAGCTATATTCTTCCCACCTTTGTTGTAAAACATCTTCGATTTCGGATGGTCTTTGTTAATCTAATTGATGTTCTTGGATTCTCCAATGTTGATGGAAGTCGGTAAGTTGTAAACATTGATTTCTTTCAAGAAGTTTCTTAATTGCATGAGCGCAAGGAAGGTCCATCGACGACTTAAAAGTACCACTACAAGGTTGTAGTGGATTTTCTAGTATTGCATTAGATGCCTTTAAAAATTGTTCATGAACCTTTTTCAATATGAAAGTAGATACCTTGGTGACAACTTCCGCATAGAATGGTATGTTTTGTGCGTGGAGAATTTTAATCATTTCCTGGAAGATCATT